AAACATAGATCCAAAGTAGGTTGCATGTGAACTTAGGAATTGTTTCTAGTTTATTTGTTGTACTTAAAACCCATCAGGAACAACAGGGGCTTAGTTTTCAATGACAACACGAACTTGTTCAACTGTTTTAAATTTTTATAAATATTAGTATTTGTTATAAACATAATCATACCGGTATTTGTTAAAAAAATACTACATTCCCCTCTTCCTTCCATTTTTCATCGGTCAGATTAAATTTATTTTTTATAGGATCATATATATTGTTGGTTTTGTTTTTCAGTTTCGCCCAAGCAACATACTTTGATTTGTAGTAGTCAAAGTGGTTACTTATTTGCTTATGATTAACCTCTTTACAGTGTTTGTTTATCAATTTTCGCGTATTTTCTTCCATGAACTTGTCGTAAGCCCAGAACCCTCACGACCACTAGTGGTTAGTTCGTGGTTACATGGATCAAGAAATTTTTTTTCCTCACACTCATTCAAAACCAACATCCTAAAACCTTAATATTCAACTAATTTATCAAGATCAGGATCAACAAGAAAAGGTATGTAATTGATAATTGATGGATATTTTTGAGGATCAAGATAAAGACCAATATTTCTTCCAATTCACAAATTCACCAGTTATGTAATTGATAATTGATGGACATTTTTATGACTAGGAAAAATGATTTGAAGTTACTTGTAGGATTTCTAAAAAACACCAAAATTGCTCCCAATTCAGAAATTGACCACATCAACATAACAACAAACAACAAAGAGCAACAGAACACCAAAAATCTTTAATTGAAATAGCAAATCTGATGCAATTGGTCTTAAGGAACTATATATTGATATCAACAAATAACACAACAAGAACACGATAGCAAACAACAAAAATCGGCTATATAACAACAAAAATCGAAATTTCAAATAAGAAGAGAACACAAAAACAGATGATAGAACAACAAATAATAACACAACAACAAACAACAACATAGTTGATGAGAAGAGGAACACAAAAATCGGAACTTTAAACTACGAAAAGAACAACAAAAATCGAAACTTTAAACAGGAAAAGAAGTATACCTAGTGAGAAGAGGAACACAAAAATCAGAACTTCAAATCGATGAGTCTTTCTTTTCAAATCAGAACACAAAAATCGGAACTTCAAATCGAGGATGCTTGTTTGTCTAGGAAGAAGAAAGGATGCGCTAAAAGGGGAGAAAAAATGAGGGGATGGAGGCGCTGATAATTTTGCTAGGGAAAGGGTACAATTGGAATTGCAGAACCCTTTCTCACTCAACTAATTTTTCTCTTCTAACCCACTCAGTTATTTCTTTCCGAGTCAGACACCCGAAATTAATCTATCAAACACCTACATCTGACCGAGTCAGCCAAAAACGTCTGATTCGACTCGGTCAGATACATATCAAACAGGACTTGAGTTCAAGAAATCCAATTTTCCCTTTATTTGTAGTTTCTATTTGGGATGGTGATTTGATGCTTAACTTGTCGCAATTGTGTTCTTGACAAAGCAAAGAAAAGATTGATGTAGATTTTGTACGAGATTTACTATCACGAGCTAGTTTATTTTTATTTTTTATGGGAAGAGTTTGTAAGTCATGTAAATCATTCCAAGAAGGCATTAGAAGTGGCAAGTGCTTGTTTTTAAACATTCATTTTTGTAGAAGCCTATGAGCAATTAGGAATGTATATTCCTAATAATGAAGCAACGATTTTGATTTCTAGTTTGAACGTTCCAAAGATTGTTCTTAATCAAGTGCAGAATTTCCTTATGTTGGTCAAATTCATTAGTTTATTCTTGAAATAACACCGAAGTACAATAAGTATTTGTTGGATTTTAAAGCAACGATGATTATTCCTCAACCTGTTCGACCCTTTGTGGTGGATTCTGGAATGGAAATTTCAAAACTAAAGGTGATTGAGGAGAAGATTGTTTCCAAGAAACGACAAAAAGGAGTTGTCATTAAGGAGCCTAGCATGGAAAATTCAATTAAAAAGAAAAATGTTTCGAATAAATGGGAACAAGAAGTTATAGGAGGGTAAAATAAAAGGTGCAAGTTAGTCAAGAGAGCAGATCTTCAAGTCAAAGATGATGAGGATGAGGATACAGAAACGGATGTGATAGGGCCATGATGATGATAGTTATCCTTAGGTGAGCGAAGCTCTAACTTCATCACTCCTAAGTCATCACCAAAGGGGACCTCTTCTGAATTCATAGAAAGGAGGAACATCCTCTCGATGTTACTGCTAACACATCTAATATGGACATAAACATCAACAATGTTGCACAGAATGTCGAAGCTCCTTTACCACACCCTTCAAAATTTGTTTCTACTACTACCATTCCACCTACTTCGACTATAACCTAAGAGCAACAACTCCTCCACCTCCACCAGTTTCTACACCAGTCACCACTACTCCCAATTTACCCACATTTGCTATCATTTTTTATTCTAAAATTTTTGAGGATCTTCTTATCTCTTCTAAATCTATTACTATTGAATATGGAGTTCTTGAATTAGAAAATTCGGATGGAAATGTTGATGATTTTGATTTTTGTCCAATTCCGTTTAATATTGATGTTGAAGATATTCCTGATGACACCCATCATGCCCAAATATCAATACAATATTCTTAATAACAAGTTGAATATGTTATTATATTTTGTATTTGGTTCTCCATCTACAACATATTATATCTATGGTCCAATTACTCAACAATCTCTTTAGAAGATGGTTGCAATTCATGAGGGCCAAGTGAAGAAATATGTTGAAAATGGTCATGCTGAAGTTCGTGATGAGGCTGCTACTACCATTAGTACATTTTCCAAGAAGTTAGTTGAGGGTAAAGAGATTCACAAGAGGAAGTATGATCTTTTGTTGACAACGATATCAAAGCTACAAACTGATCACCTAAATATATTTGAGACAAATCTCAATTCAATAGTTGATTTGATGGCTCGTGATTTGAATGCTCACGGTGAAGAGAATATTAAGCTCAGGGCCTCTATTGATAAGCTTCTTCTATATGCTCAAACTGTTATTGAAAATGTGAGATAATTTAATAAAGATTATACTGAGAAGCTATCGAAGAAGGATGAAAGCTAATCGAAGGATTTTCAAGAGCTCAAATCTAATCTGGCTACGTTCGAGAAGAAGATTTAATCTGTGAATCCTGATCATGTTGCTACTGTACTTACCCAAGTCAAAGAAATTTCGAAACATTTTTTCGCTCTAGTCTTTGATGATGTTAAACGAATGCCCACCAGTGCTCCACAATTTTCTCTGAATATCGTGTCACAAGGGGGAGAAAAGGGTGATGGCTCAGGGTCAGGGTCAGGGTCAGGATCTGGATTTGGATTGGGAGTTAATGAGACAAATTTTAGTCAACAATTGTGGGAAAAGTTTTATCTTCGGTTATCACAACAACAATTCTTGTACAGAACACTTCCAAATTCGACTTGAATAAACTTCAAGCTACGAAAGGGATTGTTATTCGAGATCAACAACCATAAAAACAAGTTATTCAATATAGCTTAGGAAAAGGGAAAGGGAAGGTGATAACAAATAAAGAATCGAAAAGAAGGCAATGAGATCATATAGGAAGGATGAGACAAACATTAGGCATTGTTAGAAAAAGAAAAAGTGAAGAAATAAATGCTTAGAAGAAGGGTGGTGTAAACAAATTCTAGAACTTTGAGACTATTGAGTATCTAGATTTTGGTGATGTTTAAGAATTTAAGAAAGAGCACAAAGGCAGCTATTCAGTTGAGAATATAGTGGTTAATCAGGTGGATTTACCAATTTGTTATTTTATGTTTAAGTTTCATCAATTCAGTCTTCCATACAATTTCGATAAAACACCTACTCCTAAGAATATGAAGATCATATTTCATTCAAACCTTGCTCAAGATGATGAGAAGTTTTGGTCTTCGAAAAAGAAAATCAAGATTTTTTAAATAACAAAGGATGTGTTATTCGAGAATGCTTTTCAGAATCTTGAATACAGGGTTGTTCGAGGAGGTCAGATGAATTATGAGTTCACAATTGCAGATTTTCCACTCATGAATCCACATGATTTCGTGGTGTCAGTATAGATAATTTTGAAGCTCGGTGATAAAGAGATTCCTGACACTCCTATTTTCAACTCATCTTTCACACATGTTAAGGAACTTCTCATGTTTTACTATTCACAAATGGCTATGCCAGACTTCAAGTTAGCTAAAGAATTAAAGAAGACTGTTGTCAAGCCAAGCACTCAAATGTATGGTGTAGAACAATTTGACGATGGTGAAATGTTGTTGAGTCCTAAAGGGATAGTTTTCTTGGGGAAATTACAGAACAATGTTCAGAAGAAGAACATGTTATGTACAAATTTGAAGGAAATGTTTTTATCATTGTAGATCAATAATGTATTAATGAGAATGGAGAATAGCCCAATGAATTGTGAAGAAGGCGAAAGAAAGATAAAGACCATTCTTCAATAGTATCTCGAAGTTCAAAGAACTCTTCTCGGAACATTAGGTCTATGCACAAGAAGTGAAGATTTGTATAATCAACACAGGGGGGTGTGAGGGGGATGTAGAAGATATCTTGTGTTGATATGTCAAAAACCAAGAATCGAATTTACTTTGTATATTTGATTAGAAGAGTTGTCCTCTATATCAAAGGTTACACACCTTTGATATATCTTTTTATTTCGGTGTGCACATTTTGTATGTACTTTGATGAAGAAGTCACACTTTACTTTAGGTAGTCTATTGATAACACTATAAATAGTGTTGTAGTCATGAGTATTAAGTACCCAATTTCTAATTATCTAAATCTGTACTCGTGATTGTTTCCACACTTAATGGAGCTTAAACTGAGTTATTTATATATCGCGCTTCATTTCTTTTCTTAATTCATTACTTGATTGAATCCTTAACTCACCAGAGAGACAAATTGTCATTGATTGTCGTGCACAAAAAGGTTAGTCATCATGAGAAAGTCAACGGGAAATTTCTCACATTCCTTTGTTCTTGAGAAGGTTGGGTCTTCAAAAAAGATAATCAAGATTTTTCAAATAACAAAGGATGTGTTATTCGAGAATGCTTTTTAGAATCTTGAATACAGGGTTGTTCGAGGAGGTCAGATGAATTATGAGTTAATAATTGCAGATTTTCCACTCATGAATCCACATGATTTCATGGTGTCATTATAGATAATTTAGAAGCTTGGTGATACAGAGATTCCTGACACTCCTATTTTCAACTCATCTTTCACACATGTTAAGGAATTTCTCATGTTTTACTATTCACAAATGGCCATGCGAGACTTCACGTTAGCTAAAGAATTCAAGAAGATTGTTGTCAAGCCAAGCACTAAAATGTATGGTGTAGAACAATTTGATGATGGTGAAATGCTGTTGAGTCCTAAAGGAATAGTTTTCTTGGGGAAATTACAGAACAATGTTCAGAAGAAGAACATGTTCTGCACAAATTTGAAAGAAACGTTTTTATCATTGTAGATCAATAATGTATTAATGAGAATGGAGAATTGCCCAAAGAATTGAGAAGAAGGCGGAAGAAAGATAAAGACCATTCTTCAATAGTATCTCAAAGTTCGAAGAACTCTTCTTGGAGTCATTAGGTCTATGCACAAAAAGTGAAGATTTGTATAATCAACACAAGGGGGTGCGAGGGGGATGTAGAAAGATATCTTGTGTTGATATGTCAAAAACCAAGACTCGAATTTACTTTGTATATTCGATTAGAAGAGTTGTCCTCTATATCAAAGGTTACACACCTTTGATATATCATTTTATTCCGGTGTGCACATTTTGTATGTACTTTGATGTAGAAGTCACACTTTACTTTAGGTAGTCTGTTGATAACACTATAAATAGTGTTGTAGTCATGAGTATTAAGTACCCAATTTCTAATATTCTAAATATGTACTCGTGATTGTTTCCACACTTAATGGAGCTTAAATTGAGTTATTTATATCTCGCGCTTCATTTGTTTTCTTAATTCATTACTTGATTGAATCCTTAACTCGCGCACAAAAAGGTTAGTCATCATGAGAAAGTCGACGTGAAATTTCTCACATTCCTTTGTTCTTGAGAGTCATATTTTATATATTTTTCTATCTGTAAAACTATGGAATTGTCATCATTCTGTTTATTAGTTTTACTATCATTTCAAACTTCAAGATAATTTTATTCTAGTCGGACATTATCGTACACTAGGTAGTGAGAAATAGAGCTATGTCTAGACAATATTAGACAATAACATAGTATCACTTAACACCATTTTTGATATAAAAGATCTTAAACCCCACCAAAAAAAAGTTATTGTCATAGCTCTACAAGATTGAATACATTATAAGGCAATAATTGAATTATAAAAGGTTGGTTGTTTCTGAAGCTTTAGGCACCAATGATGAAGGTGAAAGTGGATGAATGAATCTAGTGGACTCCCACCTTTCCACGTCTGAAAGGGAAAGGAGGATGTAGAAATTCAGTAACTATCGAAACCATGTTTAATCTATAATGTCCCATTTTCCCAAACTCCCATGTGTTATGTTCATATCGACCCTCTTCTAAGTGGATTCCAACTCCTCTTCCAACCATATGTATATAGATTTATTATATATATCCCCTTCACCCACCCACCTCACCCCACATAATGCATGGTGGCCCCCCTCACTATCTAACACATGGAGGAATCCTATACATTATATATATATACAACTCCTAGAATAGTCTTTTATTTGTCGAAAGATCTAAGTATTTAAAGTGATTGGTCCGTCTTCCTTGTTCCAAAGCAATCCCTGTGCATCTTATATTTTTTAAATGAGTATCTTGGTGTTATTTTAATTGAGTACATGTTTCTAGTTCAAGAACATGGGGGCACAACATATAATAGCTTTTTATGGTACAATCTTTTTTATTTTCTAGGATTATACCGTACTAAAATTTGGAAAAAGCGCTTGTTTTTTTGACATTCATAATTTATCTTTTTTAACTCGACCAATAACAAATTATAGACCGTGCGTTTAGTTATAGAACAAAAATTGTTTTCTAGAAAAAAAAAATCAAAGAAAAATAGGAATCTTGAAAACGCATTTTGTTGAACAATTTTTCTAAAACTTTACGAAAAAAGAAAATTATTTGGTTTCCCAAAATTACAAAGCACTTAGAAAAATTTCAAAAACTAATAATTATTGTTTTCCGAATTTTCCTGATTCCATTTTTTTTTAAATATAAACACACATACTCTCAAGCCACCCCTTTCCACTCCCACCACCATTGCTGATATCATCACCACCACCTTTACCACCGCCACCACCACCACTTTCACTACCGGCACAACCACAAGCATCCCACCCCGCCCACATCCACCGTACCACCAGCACACCATCGTTTTCTAAAAATGAAAATTGGAATAAAAATACATATCTAAATATGTTTTTTAATTTTTTTAAAAACAGAAAATAAAAAATAAAAAAGTTTTAAGCAAACATATTTTTTAAATTTTCCACCTGCAAAAATCCACGTCACTGAGATTTTTTTTTTCTGTAAAACAATGTTGTTTTGCATCGTTGACTGCGAAAATTTGAAACAAATGAAAGAATATAATGGGCCAAGGCCGGGTCGGTTCTAAGGATTACTTTTTTTTTCATCGTTCTCATTTTTACAAAACATTTTCACAAATAACTACATATTTCTCTCTAAAAAAAATGGTTGAAAACGATGGTATCTTCTCCATTCAGTTAGTTATTTATTGTTATCTATATTTTTGATGTTTTTAACTCGAAAATCAAAACTCATAGCATTTTGTAGGACATTTTCGCATGTTATCGGTTATTATTGAAATGGTTTTATCTTGACAGACTCATGGCGTGGTCCTTGCCGTGTGATAGCACCAATCTAGCACCAATCTTAACTGAGCTTACTAAGAAGATGCCCCATCTTACCTTCGTTAAGATAAATGTTGATGAACTTGAGGTAAAGTAAATTTAAAAGTTTGTCGACAAACATGAGAAAAGCATATTAAAATAATGCCCTTTCACTGTGAGTAGAAGTTGTACTTGTTTGCAAAGTATTTGACAAAATATTTTTCTATGATTTGAAGTTAAGTTGCTTCTTTAAATAACTTATGATTCACACTTTCACACCAGAAAATTATATTTATGAAAGTTATCGTCGTTTTAAAAAACTTCAATTTATATAATTTAATTAGTCACACGTTAGGGCCTAAAGGTCTTTTTTTACGGCTCATCCGGTGTATTTAAATCATCAAGACCGGCCTTGTCATTTATCATTGGTTGTTTAGCCTGCCAGAATGTTTTAAGACCAATTCTTTTTAGATAGAGACTAAAATACAAGGTTTTTGGAAAATAGTAATTACTATTGTTGGAATTAAAGGAAATAAGAAGGAAAAGTTCACAATTTTGGATTCTTATTGTAATTTTCGAATTTACATAAATGGGAAAAGATGAAAGAGAAATAAGTTATGCTATCAATGAAAGAAAAAGGGGGAAATATGTCAAACTTATAAAGAGTCTGTTGACTTGGTCAAAATCAAGAACCCATGGACCAATTTCTGTGTGTGCGTGTGTATCTCTGGTCCCCAGAAGCAAATATGATGAAAAAAAAAAAAAAAAAAACATGGGCCGGTTCTTGTTTTGTGTTTAGCTATGGTCAACCAAACGAAGAAAGCTGGAAACAAACTTCATACGTGCGTGTGTTTGGAACAAATGAGAGCAAGAAAGAGAAAGGAAGGACAACCAAAAAAAAAAAGAAATTATATGTGTGTGTGTTTGTGTGGCCTTCAATCACAGAAAAGAGGGGGAGATAGCAACGAAATCGTTGATGCTACTATCGACCTTATGGAGGAGATGCAGGCAGTACCGCGGCCTGCTGTGGTGATGATGGCTGTAATGGAGGACGGTTGTGGCTATGGTGGCTGATGTCGGTCTGGTTATTAAATTTTTAAACCTAAGTTCAAGTCTTGAATCGAAAATATGACCTTATTGAATACATCTTGGTTAAACGATGAGTATATATGAGCATGGCTAATATACCTAGTTGTCAAATGAATTTCAAGCCTACTTATGCTTACATGAATTGGGAAGTGAATGTAAAAGATAAAGAAATAAAGGAATTAGTATCTTTATGTCAAAAAAGAATGTTGTCAACTTGTTTCTATGTGTATGATTATGCAAGTTAGGAACAAAAGATTGGAATATATATATATATATATATATATATATATATATATATATATATATATATATGAAAGAAAGAATGTTGGGAAAATGCTTAAAAAACTTATAGTCTATAAAAAGCAAGTGAATAGCCAAATTAGTTCATTTTGACAGCTTTGACTTTTGTGTCAAAGTCAAACATTGAACCGAAAGTTGAAATTACTTGGATAAGCCTTAATGCGTGATGGAATTGAGTTGGTCATTAACACCAAAGAAACAAGAAAATGAAGCTACTTATCTTAGTAATAATCAGTTGGCTAAAAAAAAGGACATAATTGACTTTGGTAAAAGTCTAAAATGGTATATTTTTAGGTATACTTCTAGAGTTATTAAAATAGCTAATGTAGGCGTATTTATCTACGTAATGCAATACAAATACTTTGTAAACGTTTGGTAAGAATGCAAGAACATCAAATCAATTCAAGTAAGTACTTAAGGTTTGACAAAAATGCATAAAAGTTGGTAAAAATACCAATTAAGTTGTCGTTAGAAATGAAAATTGATATTTTAAAAAAATTACCCAAAAACATGATATATGAATCCTCAACATTTAAACATGCTAGAATGAAAGAAATAACAAAGTTTGGGGAAAGAAATGATATATTTTGGTTAAGTCTAAAAATGATAGAAAATCTGAAGGGTTAACCAAAAATTTACAGTTTGACTAAAAAAGATAAAAAACAAAGATACAATACACTTGGAATGTTAATAATGAAGTGCTAGGAACATATTACTACTAAATTCATGGAAAGATATATGGGTTTCGACAGTTTCTATTTTAGAAACTCTAACGACTTAAAAAGCTAAAAAATGACATAAAAGGAAAACAAAATGAGTGCTGTTTTGATATCTAAGCACTTGTAACGCCTTAGAAACATGTTATAACCAGAAAGTAGTTAAAAGACATGCTATGAATCTAGAAAACACATTTAGGCAAAGTAGGATGTCTAAATGAGTATATGGTCAAAGAGTATCGAAACAAAAAGTGGGCTAAAAGGTTTCATGAAGCTTGATACATTTCATAAACACTATTGGCACATGGTTGGGCTATATATCAACGATTTCAAAAATTTAATGCAAGGAAATGGTTAAGTGGTCAAGAAGGTGGACAAAAGGGTAAAAATGTCAAAAACAGTTATCATACCCTTATGAAGCATACCTAACTGTTGAAATGGATTTCGAATGATATTAGAATGACTAGATTAATATAGTCATTGAGTAACTATGTGTTTTGAAGCAAGTGCTAAATTAAAGTAAGTTGCTAATTCTGGAAAATATGACCTAGATTTGGTATAGAATGGATTCTTAGCTAATGAAATAACTAGTAATCGTTATACAATGATTTTGGAATATTGCATTAATGATAAATTAAGTTTTTTGGAATGAAATAGGTTTGATGCAAGATTAAATAACATGGAAGGTGGATTGAGATTAGATGTTACCTAATCTCTCCAGGTGAGTATACATGTGGACTTTTCCCACTATGGGGGTACATGGCGAACTAGTTAAAGTTTTATGTGCAAACTTATGTACTTTAAATGAAATGTTACAAGTATGTTTATGGTTTTGAATAAAAAATTAGTTGATAATACTGGAAACACTATGAGAATAGTTTCAAGAAATGTTTCCTATTTTCAAGAAAGTTATTGAAGCATGCAAAAATCATTAGAGTTAAATCATGCATTACATACGTGTTGCATACATAATAATTGCATGACTTGTAAACTAAAATAAATAATTTTGTTTGGGCCATTTTTACAAAACATAACTATACGTTGTAAAATGTTTTCTTTGAAACCATAACATTTAAAAGATTTGAATGTGTGGGTGTTACACTGAAGGAAGCTCTTAGGGACTTCATTGAAGTAGCATTCAAAATCAATATAGATGATATGATAACTTTTTCCCAAGGTTAGGTCTTCCCTGATTTATATGATGGGTATTGTTGTCAGACTATGACTATTGTTGTCCGTTCTAGAGTTGGCTAAAATAGAACATTTGATCTTTTTTTGGCAGACATGTAAACCATATACAATGTATGATTTTGAAGAAAACTTTAGTCGACTACAACATGTGTAACGCCCGCAGATTCGGGCTAGTTAATTTAAGGACAATGAGCGTCAAAAATGACTTTTTGATGGAATGTTATTTAGAAGGAGTAATCCTAACTAAGTTGTAGTATATGTTACAAGGATTCCGTACATGTAAAGAATGCCAAAATCCGAGTTATAACGAAGAAGTTATGACGTGTCGAAGTTTCGCGACAGAACCGGCACGACACGGCGCGACGTAAATAGTGAATTTACGATAGAGCGATATTTGGCCTTAGCGATCTAAACGAAAGTCGTATAATACTTTAAACCGAGAGCGCGGATAAAAAGAACGTCCAAATCTGAGTTCGTATGAGGAAGTTATGATTTTTCTAAGTTTCAGCTTAGCAGTATGCAACCCAAAACTCGATATTTAGATCCAGTGATTTCTAGCTGAAACAATCTAAACGAGAATCGAAGATCTCATCGATAGTAGTGCAACGGTAAAAAGACAGACGAAAACGGACGTCGGATGAAGAAGTTATGAATTATTAACGGAGTTTTCCTATCCCGGCCTATTAAAAATATAATATTAAAAATATAGTCAAAATTAGCCGACGGAGTCTAAATGAAAGTTATAGAGCATAATCTCACCTACACATTGATATAAACAACATCGAAAACGGAGATCGTATGCCAAAGATATGAATTTCTGAAGTTCGGATCACAAACTTCGAGGTTTGTCAGAATTCACGACGTGAACTCAGTGATTGACACCTTCCAGGGCTAGGAATCAGACGTCGAGTCTATGAACTGATCATGACCAAGTTCACGGCGTGAACAAGCCTGGTTCACGACGTGAATGTCGAATTTTAGCCCTATAAATAGAAACCGAAGCCAGCCGATTTGGTTGCTAATTTCTGAACCTCTCTCCTACTTCTCTCATCTTTAAGCCTACTTTTAACCCCCCAAAGTCCCGGTATCATCCCGATACCCGAAGAAAGTCCTGAAGCCCCAAAGATGCTGACAGAAAAGAGTTTTCGAGCCGAAACTCCGCCCGCGAGAAGCCCGGTTTTTGGAGAAAACATCACGGTTTCATCGAAGAATATTGTTTTAAGGGACAAAGCGTTGTCCAATCGTCGTCTTATCATGTGAGTGTGTAGTCTCTTTCATCTAACACATAGATATGAAATATTTTCTATACAATACGTGCTATGTGTTTATATATTGTTTGTCTATTTGAGATGGGTGTTAAATGAATGTTTTATACAGGTTTTAAACTGTATATGTAGTTTATATCTACGAATATGTTGGGTAAAACATGGGTAGATAAATGATGAGGTACGAAAGATGTTATAGATAAATATTGGTAGCTGTGCCACAACGTGTAGATATTTTAAACCACGTTATACTCTAAACATCCTAGCAGCTGCGCAAAAAGAATAGTATTGGCAGAAGCGCCTAATAGTGAATGTCGTAATCTTGGCAGATGCGCCTAAACGATATTATTGGGAGTTGCTCCTAATAGATGTCATTGGCAGCCATGCCTTATGCAACAATGGAATTTGTGCTTATTCCTTAAAGTCAATCTTTACGAATGAATGAATGAAGGATAGATGATTCTTATGGTAAATCCTTAAGAAAAATAAAGGAGATAATGGGGATGGGGAATTTGATTGATTGATTGATGATTATAAATAATAATTATATTATTGTGGGTTGAAAACCCTATGTGCTCACCAGTCTCCCAAGCCTGGCCCACTCAGTTTTCTTTGTATTACACGTCGTGGAACAAGAGCATAGTTGAATAATGACGAGAGATTTTGGATTATAGGCTAGTAGTTGTAAATAACTGTTGTAAGGCTTATAATGTATTGTTTATGCTTTTGGTCTGTATGGGAACATGACATCCCGAGGTTTTCTTATTTAATGAAAATACATTTCTTTAAGAAATGTTTTGATAAAATTTTTATCATATTTTGTTTTGGGAACAATTTCCGCAACTCTTTTAATCAAAGGATTACTCTGATTTTATTTTAAAAGCATAAATTAAATCGGTCTTTTTTGGCCATGAAATTAGGGATGTCACAGTTGGTATCAGAGCATTAGTTTAAGCGAACTAGGAATTTGTAGGAAATTTCTAGACTTAAACTTAGAATTCTAAGCAATGATTTTGAGATGAGTGTCTAATATACTTTAGGTAGTACACCTTAATTGACACAAGCACTGGCTTACTTTAGGATTAGATGCCTAATTTGCTTTTATGTGCTAAATGATTTATGTTATAGCATTATATGCCTTATATGCTATTATTTGATTGGATCTATGGTCTGTTGCCGACCGGATCTAGAAATTTTATGTGCTCAGGATTTTAAACGTTTAATTACGGTATTAGAACTGGAATGTAACTTTTCAAATTAATAAGGAGATTTATACGTCTATCGTAAATAAAGTTTTCCTATCTTAAATTCTCGCCTCGGTACACCGAACGTCTGCTTGGGTGTACAAAACGTCATGGTGAAGACAGACTAGGAAATATCCGAGGAAGACGACAACCTGAGCCGAAGAATGTGATGGGACATGCATCGGTCGTTGCGCTGCGCTTGCACCCGAACCTATCACAATGGCAGAAGTTCAGGAAGTGATGCGAACCATGATAGACTACGAAAATAG